TTAAATTGAATAAAGGTAAATTTGAAATCAAGACCATTTTAAGCCTAAACCAGTTTCAATCAGCTTTGAGATTATGTAGATTTCCAGGGAAATGAAGGTACTGGAAACTCTGTAGCCAATTTTCCCAAGGGAGACACAAGCGTCTCTTTCATATTCCAAGAGTTCCCAGTTAAATCTTTATGTCAACAATCTTAGTAATTCACAGCCCCAAAATCTTCCAACTTTTATTTTTATTTAAAAAATTTGAATCGTGTCAAATTTGAGACACATAAATGAGACCAAAACTTATTAATATATTATCATCAGCTTTTTGTTTGTTTAAATTCTTTTGTGTGTTTTCTGCTTTATCCAATTAACAAAGAAATTATACATTTTTCATTTGAGGTCTCAGTTGTCCCAATTCAAAGATCTTTCTGATTTAAATTCTTCTGTCCTGATGCATTTGGCATTCTTAACCCACTGAGTTATATCATTATTAATATATGTATATGTTTATTATGCAATTGTTTTGTGAAATAAAAATCAGTGTCTGCTGGTGGAATTGAAATGTGGGGATTAATGGTAGTCAATATCTGTCTGCGGACTGGGGGACACCCCTTATCAACAAGGGTGCCTGGATGATGCATATTTGTATACCTAACCCTTAACTGTAATAATTAAAATGATACATTTTCTATTTTCTGTTATTTTGAATGTCTAACCTTACCACTAGGTAAGCCAGATCATTTTGAAATGTGTTCAAGAAACTTCAAAATCTTAAGTAACACTCACTTCCCTTTAAATCAGGAGGAGGAATTTATTGAAATTGCCACAATTTTAAAATAAAAAATATGTTTTAAAAAAAAGAATTGAAATATGAATGAGTCCTAACATAGAACTAAAGCAGGATTAGTAATAACATATAATATAATATTCAACAATAGTAATATCCACTTTGAGCAAAACTTTATCATATATGTTTCCTCGTAGAGCACGGAAGCTGTGTCAGTCATTTTCTGCGTTTCCCACTGACCTTTCAGGAAATTTTCTTCCAGTGATGGAATTGTCATTCCATCACAGTGAAGGACCACAGAGCTGTGTAAAATGGTGATTGGCAAAAGCAAGAGCTCAGACTGGTCTGTCCTTGGCAGTTTCAATAAATTTCTCCCGATTTAAAGGGAAGTGGGTGTTATGTAAGATTCTGAAGTTTCTTGAACACATTTCAAAACGATCTGGCTTACCGAGTGGTAAGGTTAGACATTCAAAATAACAGAAAATAGAAAATGTATCATTTTAATTACTACAGTTCATCAATTCCTTTTAAAAAATAATAACATTGTATACTTAAATTTCTTATTATTTTATTATTTTTACAAGGTATATGTTTTTCTATTCAGGTTAGCTTGGTCAAGATGAACAAGTACTACACCGAATTTTTCCTATAAAATGAGAGATTTTTATTTTTATAACAGTGACTTTTTTTTTTTTAAGTAAGCCAAACCTGATTAAATCCAAATTCTGTAATTTACTACCAGTGTGAACCTTGGGTAGCTTATTTCAACTCTCCAAATTTTCAGTTTACTCAATAATAAGTGAAAAAAAGAAATCATAGTGTGAAACTCACCACATGGGATTCTGAAATGGGCTATCCCCTTAGCACCATGCCTGGCATTTTGTAAGTTTGTGATATCAGGGAGTTTTGGTGCTAGTCTACAGGAAAAGCACTTGGCATCCAAGTTTTTCTGTGAGTTTATCCAAATACAAATTTAATTGTTGCAATTTCAAACTTTTGCCTGAAAATCTTTAAAAAATCATTTTTCCTAAGTGATATAGGCAGTGATCTGTTAGACTTGAATAAATGAAATATTGCCTTTAAATCGAATATATCCACTGATCACAAAACATGTTCTCATGTATAAGTGGGAGATAAGCCAAGAATATGCAAAGACATAAAAAAAAGAGTGTAATGGAACTAGAGACTCAGAAGGGTGGGGGAAGAGGTGGAGGAACCCAAACATCACTTATTAGGTAAAGTGTGGGATTGGTGAGTACACTTAAAGCCCAGACCAAAACCATTTGTACCCCTCCAAAACTATTGAATCTAAAATAAAGACAAAAAATCTAACATAAGCCTTCAGCAATTGATTCTTTCCTCCGATATTTGTTAAGCACCTTTCTAGGTTAGGTTCTCTTCCTTGGAAATTAGGAAAGTGTTATTTCTCATTGATGTAGCTTCTCTATTGAGTTTCTTATTGTCTCCATTGACATTTAGTTCCCACATACACTCAAAATGTGGCATCATTTTCTTTTTCCTCTTCTCTCTTCACCATTCTGCTTACAGCAATGATAAAATTTCCCTACCAAAGCTGATTTTCCAAGTGTAGTGACAAAGCAGGTCTCTTTAACTTAGAGGTTGTCCTGATGTGAAAACCTCAATCTTTAACTAAGAAGTATAGATGAGTATGTGTGATAGAACAGAGAGGTGGGCTTTCTAGTTCCTCTGACTTTTTTTTTTTTTAATTTTTCATGCAGGTTTAAGGTATCTTTTGATTTAAATATACAGAAAATCCTCACTTTTCAACTGTACAATAGTGCAAAAGTCTTAGGCATTTAGTAGAAACCAGATTTTGAGTACCCATACAATAATTCTGTTTTTTTCACTTTCAGGGCAGTATTCAGCAAATTACATGAGATAGTCAACACTTTATTACAAAATAGGCTTGGCGTTAGAGGATTTTTGCTTAACTGCTGGCAAATGAAACTGATCTGAGGTTTAGTTGTAAGGATCAAATAAAACAGCAGATGGATAAGGCTTTGTAAAAATCATGGTGTTTTCTCTAAATGTAAGATGTTGTTATTGCTAGTAGTAATTTATCAGTGAGCGTTTCTGAGCAAAATGATTTTTTAGTTCTGTCAAGTTAGGATGTTTTCAACTTACAAGGGGTTTATCGGGATTAATCCCATCGTAAGTCGAGGAGACTGTGTAGTCAGGCACACCACCATTTATCTATCTTTAAGTGCAAATATATGCCCTAACAACATATAGGAATGATTTTAGTGAGCAATATCTACAATTGCTCCCCTTGCCAACACAGATATTAGAACAAATATGACATGATGCAGTGGTAACCAAAAATCATTCTTCAATAGATTCTCTATTATCTACCGAATGTGTATTTTTACTTTACCATCAAGTTCCTTTGAAGAGCAGACACTAAAATAAATAAAGAAAAAATGACCCGGTTTTGTCCCAGCCCTCTGGGTGCCAGGTTGAGGACAAGCATGCTCGACAATAATTACTTTCCACTCTGTACATGGTAGGTCACAGTGAGGCCTACCTGGCAGCACCAGCCTTTGGTTCCAGGGCTCTCTGTAGCATCAAGTCATTTGTACAGGTGTCGGGGCAGCCTGGGGTTCTTAGAACACTGCAGGGCCACTGTTGAAAGGGGAGCCGAGGAACTCTGAGTTAATACAATTAACCCTATATTTCTGGAGCAGCCCACTTTCAATGAACCAAGGACTGAACTGGGATTTAATTGGGATCAGACTGGCTTGTGTGAAAGGGCAAAAGGCCAAGCAGGATCTTAGAACCAGAAGACAGCTTGGAGGCCCATGTCTAGCCTTTACTTTGAACTAATATGTATCTTCCTCTAATGCCTAGTGTGTCTTTCATCTCAACTTCTCCAACTTTTCTTCCTGCTTCTTTGCACTTTTCTTACCCTTTTAAACCAGAGATATCCTGATCTCTATGCGATCATTCTGAAGATAACCATTTAAAAACATATTTATTTTCAATATTCCACGAGCTGTCACTAGATGAGATCTGTGATCATAATAACCACAGAACCTGACAATTAATAGGCAATCAATAAATACCTTACAATTTTGTTTTTAAAATACAATATGGTGCCCAGGAAAGCACACAAGTTTTGCCATCAAACAAACCTAGATTAGACTGTAGATCAAGTATTAACTTGCTCTGGGTCTTGGGCTGTATTTTTCACTTTTCTGAGCCTCTGGATCTTCAGCTTTTATAAAAAATGTAATAATAAAATTCATTGTATAAAGTTGTGTTGAGGATTATCTGAGCTAGCATCCATAAAGCATGTAGCACAGCTCCTAGCACATAGTAGGTACTCAGTAAATATTAATCTCCACACCGAACCACCCTTCCTTCTCCAACCCCACCTACCTCATAATCCAGAATAGCAATATAAGAAAAGATTAAGGAGAATTGAGTTTCAGCATTGCTCTTTTTAATCCTATGACCTTGGATAAATCATTCCTTTTCATGTAACCCTGTCAAATAGAACTCTGTTGACTATAAAGTTTTGTTGCAAAGATCAAATAAGAGCCGGGCTTGGTGGCTCAGCCTGTAATCCCATGCCTTTGGGAGGCTGAGGTGAGTGGATTGACTGAGCCTGCGGGTTCAAGACCCGCCTGGGCAACTTGGCGAGACCTCATCTCTACAATAAATCAAAAATTAGCTGGGCATGGTCGCACACACCTGTAGTTCCAGCTCCTTGGAAGGCTGAGACGGAAGGATCGCCGGAGCCCAGCAGGTCGAGGCTGCAGTGACTGGGAGCGGCCACTGCACTCCAGTCTGGGTGACAGAGTGAGACTCCAACTCAAAAAATAAAAAATAAAAATAAAATAAAATAGCAGGTAGACAATGCTTTGTAAAATCATCTTCTCTAAATGTAAGATGTTGTTATTGCCAGCAGTAATTTATCAGTGAATAATTGCTGAATGAATGAATCACCTATTCCTCCTTTCTCCTCCCTCCCCAAACTGGAGCAGGGAGGAAAAGCCCAACAGACTTAGTATTGAAAAACCAGTCCATATGTCTTTGTGGAAACACACACACATTCACCTGATAGGCACAAATTCAGGCAAACAATCTCACGAGAACAGTTGGCAAAAGAGCCCACTGACGCAAAGCTACCTTAAAATTACAGAAGCTCAGAATCTTCCTGTGAGAGTTGTCAGCTACTGACCCTCTTCCTCTAATTTCTTCCAGGAATTTCTATTACATCACAATGTTACGGGATCCAGTGTCACGTTACCTGAGCGAGTGGAAACATGTCCAGAGAGGGGCCACGTGGAAAACCTCTCTCCACATGTGTGATGGAAGAAGCCCCACCCCTGATGAGCTGCCCACCTGCTACCCTGGGGATGACTGGTCTGGGGTCAGCTTGCGGGAGTTTATGGACTGCAGCTACAATCTGGCTAACAACCGCCAGGTGCGCATGCTGGCTGACCTCAGCCTGGTGGGCTGCTACAACTTGACTTTCATGAACGAGAGCGAAAGAAACACTATCCTGTTGCAGAGCGCAAAGAACAACCTGAAGAACATGGCCTTCTTTGGGCTCACCGAATTCCAGAGGAAGACACAGTTTCTCTTTGAGAGGACATTCAACCTCAAGTTCATCTCCCCCTTCACGCAGTTCAATATCACGCGGGCTTCCAACGTGGAGATCAACGAGGGCGCCCGCCAGCGCATTGAGGAGCTAAACTTCCTGGACGTGCAGCTTTACGAGTATGCGAAAGACCTCTTTCAGCAGCGCTACCACCACACCAAACAGCTAGAGCATCAGAGGGACCGCCAAAAGAGGCGGGAGGAGCGAAGGCTGCAGCGGGAGCACAGGGCCCACCGGTGGCCCAAAGAGGATGGGGCCCCAGAAGGGACTGTCACGGAGGACTACAACAGCCAGGTGGTGAGATGGTGACCCCCTGCCCTCTCCTCTCTCAGGAGGAGGAGGAAGAGGAGGAGCAGGCACAGTGACCTTCCGTCGCATTACCTTGGAGAAGCTGGGTCGTTCTGAGGACAGCTGGCTGTATTGCTTGAATTGGACATCTGCTTCCTCTTTGTCTTCATTTTTGTCCAGCTGGAGATAATCTGTCTTGTTCTCTTTTTCTTCTTGACATTTTTCAGTGATATTAAGTAGGGTAGGAATGCATTCAATGTAGACCACTTTAGAAGGTCAAGGGGAGACACGCCAAAAAAGAAACAGTTCCTGCAATTTTCTTTGCAGCAGCTAGGTTACAGTTTGGGTAACTGGAACCCATAGAGACGCACATGAAAAGCCAAACTGTGGCTTGGATGTTCAATTGAAACTGGTCTGTTTCATACGATTTCTGTTGTGAGAATATTGGTCTGTTTAAAGAGTGAGAAAGAGAAGAACTCTTCAGCCCTTAGATGAGGTTTTATGCCAACCTTCACTTGGCTGTTGGCTCTCATTTTGAACTCTACTTGAATGCGATTTAAATCATAAGCAATGTGTTTTGTTGTTGGAGTTGTTTTGAAACTAAGTTACCCTTCTCTTGACCATTGCTAGAAACCCACATCCTATAAATTCCCCAGCACTGTAACCCTAAACCATGCTTTCCCCTCCATCTTTTAGGGAAGAAGAAGTGGATACAGGATGGGGTGGTTGTGACCCCTGAGAAATTAACATTAATAGGGGCATTTAGGAGAAAACTTGCTTATTTGCTAATGCCTAGGGAGATCATACTTTATCAATTTTTATTTTCAATCTGAGAAATGAATGATAAAATAAGAGAAAAAATGTCAGGAGGATAAGTATATATCTAACATTTTGAAACTGGCTACAGAACTGTAGATTGTAAAGGAATATTTTAGGGTTCAGCCTCTTTGGAGTAGTCATCTCCTTTGATATGGTACTGCCAGGTCTTGAAATTCTGCTGTCACAGAGGAAAAGATGTTTTAAAAGAACTTGACCTGAGGAATAGGAACTTAGCTGGCATGTATACAAAATATACCCAAAGTCACTAAATGAATAATCACTCTGATTGAGGCCAGGAGACATGGAACACCATTAATGGCAGTTATCCCCAGAGTTTAGGGATAACCCCACCTCCCAACATCTTGAATATCTTCAGTCTGATAACATTTTTTCTTCCCACGTGTTCTTTAGCTGTTGTTAGACTGTGGCTACAGGTTTAAATCAGGCTAGAGTGTTTAAACCCAGACAAAAAAGGACTGTATTGCTCAGTACTACTTATTTCCACCTCTCCTGATCACAACTATAATAACCAGAAGTTTACTTTGTAATGAGAGGAGGAGCATTTATTAGGAGGATCAGAGTGGGTGGAAAGTTTCATGACAGATTTGATCTGGTCAATCCCTTCAAGGAGCTGAAGTTAAAATGAGTGAAACCCCTAAATCAGATTGAAAAGCCTATTTCATTGATATCCGACATGTTTGATGTTTAAGCCAGCTTTACGTAAGCCACTTCTCAGCCTCCAAAGTATTCTCTCTGGGGTTGAGAGTCAATCAACCCACAAGCATTCATGGAGCGCCTACCTGCAGAGAGGGGAGTTCAATGTCTCCATCAGATAGAGATCTGGAGGCATTTCTCTCAGCGCCCTTGGCTTCATCTGTGGTGCAAGTGAAAGCATTCATGGTGGCTCCCTTGTGACAGGAACTGAGAGAGGCCCTTTTCATACCTGAAATATATTCTGCACAACGAGATGGATAGATAAGGAAAGTGAGCGCCACAGACAATAAGTAGCTTTTTTCGCAGATTGTAAACTAGCTGTAGTGGACTACAAAGGGCAAGTTCTTCTTACTCCATCATGTTGTCAATATGGGATGAGGGCTCATGCTGCCTAAAGCTTCCTGTCAATCATGCAGGAAACCAGTTGTTATTTCCCAGAAGTGTTGTCTGTAACCCATGTGGGTGGTACAACCGTGACAGCACCAAGCTAACAGTGACCCAGAGCAATGCGGCCTTGGGTCACTCCAGTCCCCCCCTTCTACATCACTGACCCATCAATGAGCAGAGAGATTTATGATTTTTTAAGGCAGTTGTGCTCTTTGAGCCATTTACAAGAGTGAGTTAAAAGGGGCCAAGTAAATATTGGTTGTTAGATGGTAGAGATTAGGCACACAAAATGCTCATCTCCCTTTCCTATGATTTGTTCCTACGGTAGGGAGGGAAGGAGGACTGCAACTGGAATTAATGAGCAGCTCTCTCTCTATCTTCACATTTCATTGCTAGGATCTAAGGTTCTGCCTAGAATAGCAGCGCTGCAAATTATCCTTCTGCCTGCCGCTGCGATACACACATACACATACTCATGCACGTGCACACACACAATAACAATCCAGTGTTTTGTCACGGAGAAAATCAAAACAAGTGAGAAAGCATTCGGATTGTTTCTTTAAAATTCACTTTATATTTCTGGCAAGGAATTCAGGCATAGCTGAGACTTGGAGGCAACCCCTGCTAACTTCGCTCTGTTCCTTGAGCACCCCGGGATTTATATCAAAGGCTTTCCACTGCCTTCCGCTGAAGGCGTGATGTATGGTGCTCCACTTGAGACCACGTATCAGGATGTTGAGAAGAGAAACCAGCTCTTTGTGTTGGCCCGAGGCCAGTGGTGAACAAATTAAAAAGACTGACATGGGCTTCCTCCCTCATATCATTTCATTCTAAAGCAGTAAGCTTGTCATATCCCTGGGGTCCTGTGTTGATAGAAATAGAGAGGTAGGGACACAGTTTGTTCTCCGAAAATTGACTGCCCACCTACATGCTGAGTGACACTCAGAAAGTGATGCCAGCGGAAGGTCCTGAGGATCCGTGGAAGTCGGCCGCCTGAAGTCCCAAACCAAATCAATTCCAGATGCATTCGTGTCAAAAGCTCAAGAAGAGGCAAAAAAAAAAAAAAAAATCCCCAGGGTGTTCCACATCAATGGACCCCTACAATTCCCAGGTAGACCTTCCTTCCTTTCTTTTGGCAATGGCAACTCCAGTAACCAGATTGGAATGAGGTGTCTTTGTGTATGTGTGCATGCATGTGTGTGTGTAAATTTTATCAAAGACTAAGATACTATCTAGTCTCGATACTGTCTCCTTCTAGCTCTTTGGCATCCTACTCTTGGAAACTGAAGAAAACTGCCCTGAGAGTTGTTTGGATACTTATAATAATAATTAATAACATTAACAATCAGAGTTAGACAATAGTGAGGGATAGCCTGCGTTTTATGAAAGATTACAAAGATGTGTTTCTTCTCATCTGAAGGAAGTAACTGTTTCATAAATAGTTTGATCAAGAGTTTGAAATATGAGGACCTTTAAAGGAACTTTTTCAGGAGTCTAAATGGAGATGGTACTAATATGGGGAAGAAAGTCTCCAAAATAAACCTAGCAAGGAGGTGAGACTAGGTCATTAAAAAATAAGCATATATGTGTTGGGTAGGACTCTCAGTCAGCAGTTTTAACAGAGGCACGCAAAAGAATAGAAGCCATTTCTCTCTCACTTAATGACAAACTGGTTTGAGCGCTCTGGTGTGTGACGTTACCAGAAGCCCAGGCCCTCTCTTGCTGCTCTTTCATCCCAATATGCAACATCCATCTCAAGGACCAAAGGGGCTGCTCTATATCCTGGCACCTCACTTACATCTAAGACAGTAGAGAGGAAGTGATGGGCAGTTGTCCATATTGTTTCCGGTCACATCTCACGGGCTAGAACCTAGACATCAGCCACATCTAGCTGCAAAGAAGGCTAGGAAATGTCTTTATTATTGGTTGTCATGTGCCTTGATAACTGTGGGGGCTCTATTATTAGAGGAACAATATGAAAATTGATACTGATTAAAAACTGTCAGTATCCAGCATGAAAGGGAATCAAACAATATTTCAAGTACATTTCAATGTCACTTATTTCATCATATGTTTTGCAAAGGATAAGATTAGAATTCATAATTTTGTATAACAATGGGTGGTTTTCAAAACATTTTTACATTTAGTATCCTGTTTGATTTTCATGACATTCGTACGTGTTAAATAGGATCTCTATTCATTATTCCATTTAATAGTTTGGAATGGAGATTTAGAGATATTGAAAGATTTCCCAAAGATTCCAATTTCTGAGCAAGAAAGTTGCTCAGAGCCCTAGTCTTTTGACTTCATGGCTTTTCCTCCTACTTTATGCTGCTCAGCATCAGTATTGGGAATGGAAATTCCAAGAATATTAAATCTGAAATCTAAATCTTTATTGATTTATGTTTCCCCTTGCCTTTTTTGGGAACTGTGATGACTTAAAAAATGCCAAAGACACTGGTCAAGTTGATTCTCAGCTCTCTGCCTCCAGCGAGGGATACTTCTTATCTAGGAATGAAATATTCACTAGATGGGCACTGTTGCAGAGGAAATGAAGAAGCACTCAAACTGAGGGGAGGCATTCAAACACCTCTGCTTGGGTGTCCAACCTATCTGATCCAAAACCTATTCAAGATGAAGTCTGAGGGAATGTGCTCAACAGTCCTTAGGGAAACTCAGTGTTAGAGATACTTAGAATCAGTAGCTGCCTGATTAGTGAAGCTTACAGGTAATCAATATAACCCCTGCTCAAGAACAAAAAATATCCCCTTCTCCTTTTTCCCCACATCCCTGGTATTTTATCAGCAACATATTACTTTAGTTTATTTGCTGGTAAACGAGCCTCTTTGCACACTCACTGGAAAGAGAGGAAATGCTTTAGGTTGTCTTAAGCTAACAGCTTCACACAGGGAGTTTGTCTGATTCCTATCCAACCATGACCTCTAACTGACAAGAAGGTCCTGTATAATGGGATCATTTAGGATGAGAGGTGAGGGAGAGGAGGCGTAACCACAGAGGAAAGTGGGGCTTCTAAAAAGGAGGCAGTTCTTTCCAAGGTGTAAAGATGGTGAGTTAAATATGCGCCAGACGATACTGAAAAATAGAAAATGACTAATCCACAGTTTCTGTCCTCAAGAACAAGGGCAGGCTGGAAATATGCAGACTGGTATTCTTTTAGCCATTTAAACAAAATGAATGAATGAGGATCTCGAGACAGGACCAGAGCATTGGGATGGTGTTAGGGACTCAAGGTTGATTGAGTTGGTGGAGTTGGACCAAAGGGCAAGTCGGGTTGGACTTAGGCAAGAATATCCTGATCTGATCACAGATGTGACTCGAAGGTTTTCCCTCTGTGTAGTTATTGTGCCTCCACTGATCACCGGAACTCCAACTGAAAGCTTCCAGGCCAGGTATCAGGACTGGCTGAATCTGATGATTCTATCCATTTTGTGTCATCTGGGAAGCATGCAATTGTTCTTTCTCCAAGGCACTTTTCAAAGGCTTTTCTTCTTATCCCCTCCCTCCATCTCCACTGGACATAAGCCAATGTCTGCTCTTTTTCACCACATTCACCTGGACCCATGTGAACGAATTCCCTGAAACATTGAAACTTTGGGCAAGTGGGCGGGTTCTGAGACCTGTGTGTTTTGTAGCCCAGTGAATGGAATGCACAGGAGCCTATTGCCACAGCACGTTGACAGAACCGACCTGCCTTGCAGAGGTGCAGAGATTTCCAGAGGACTGGCCTAGCTTAAACACCAGCAACATCTGCAAGACAAGAGCCCCTGGACTTCTAGGCAAGGACTTGAGGTAACATAACAGTACTCCAGATCCAAGAACACAGATGCATGGATGTTTCTTGAGTCTGTGTTCTAAAGTCGATGGAAAAGACACAACTGTCATCCTTGAACACATCAGTGGAACCTCTGTGAGCTACATGTTCTACTGCATGATAGGAACTCGTCAAAGGGCCAGATTGATATCTTGCCAGGAAAAACCGTATTCTGAGAAGCAGAGTTTTGTGTAATTTGGTTATTGTCAAATTTGTCTTCTGCCTCCTTGTCATTTTTTAAAAATCACATGGTCATCTTGTTTTTGTCTTTCCTCTTTTCAGAAGTGCGTTTGAGGTTTTGAATGCATTATTTTTCTTTGAATGTATCAACTCAATGTCGGAGAGAAAAATCTGGACTTTTATCTGGTGCCCCATTTTAGATATAAAGATAGTTATTCAATAGATAGTAAATTATTTCTCCTAAGAGATATTTCCTTTTGTTTCTGTACAATAATATGTATGAACTCAGTTACTAGGAGATTGTATTGTGACATTATCAACCTTTATTGCTATTTAAAAATGATAGTTTGTAGAACCGAGGATTTCCATTGATGTGAAGCACAATTTAATGAATAAGTTAACATATTAAACTGTTGTGATGTCAAGAACAATTGTATTCCCTTGTGTTTTTGTCAGAGACATTTTTGCAAAATGAGAAAAGTTGGTTAAACACTTTAAGGGATTTATGGAAATTGAATCTGCAGGATCAGCTTTGTCAAACTCTGAAAATCCATGCTTTGGATACAAATGTGGTTATTGGATGTGAAACTTTAAAAGTCATACAAGACAAAGAAAATATGGATTGAAACAATTTAGAGCCTCTGAGGCTAGGGAGGATTTCATAGACTCTCAAACACATAAGCTTCTAAAACCATGATTCTCAGTGACTCTCTCCCTTACCGCCCACCCCCAACACATTGAAATCTGCTGTGAAATGTGGAAAAGCCTCCTGGAGATGAAGGGATGAGCAAAAGATTTGAGAAAGAGTAGCGGGAGAGAAACAGGGATTGGAGCAAAGGATCTGGGAATTCAATCCAAAGGAAAGAAAGAAAGGAGCAGGGGGGAGGGAAGAGAAAGAGAGAACAGAAGAAAATTACAATAACAAACATTAATATGGGACTCCACAATTTTAAGGTGCCTCAATGTGGATTGTTTAAAATTAACTAGTTCCTATAATATAAGCAAAGATTAGTCTAGTGGAGAAAAAGTTTCATTCATTCAAAAGTCTCTGAACGATATAATTTATCATTTCATTTTTGTTCTGTGGAAGTGAGAATTGTGGATTCCTTCCATGCTTACGAGTAAGATGCATAACCTTAGAAATGTCATTTGACTATGTCCCTCTGTCTAGCGGAAATCATATGCAGAAGGAACCTGACTTTAAAACAACTGAAGTGTCCATAGGAAAGGCTCAAAAAGACGGTGAAAGTTAAACACACACAGACACATGGCAAGCATGTATGTACACACACACACACACACACACACACACACACACACACACACACACACACACACACAGAGTGAACAGCTTGTGGGTTTTTGTCTTCCGAAAAAAAACTCAGGTAAGAGAAGGACCTAGGAATCCTAAGGTTTACTTCTTTTCCCTATTCACCTTGAAAACTGTTGAAAATACGATTGAAAAACCGTTAAAAAATATTATTAAAAATCACCTCTCAGTATCATACTGTTTTATTCTCACATATCAGTTTTCATATCAAGTATAAATTTGCAAATTAATGGACTATAAAATATTCTAACATAGTTATTTATTTTATAAACCATGTTAATATTTTACAATTGCAAAGTAACACATGACCTTAGATCACTTAAAAAATACAAGATACTTAAAATTCCTTCATACAGAGCCAACCTCTGAGATTATTTTCATCCATTTTCTTCCATACTTGTATGCATTAGCAATTAGAGCAAAATTTTAAATAGCCAATATTTTAGGAAATTGGAATCATGCAATCTATGCAGTGGAAATAGACATATTAACATCTTAATAACCACCCTCTAAAAACATAATTTTTTTTTTTTTTTTTTTTTTTGAGTTGGAGTCTCACTCTATTGCCCAGACTGGAGTGCAGTGGCCGCTCCCGGCCACTGCAGCCTCGAACTGCTGGGCTCTGGTGATCCTTCTGCCTCAGCCTTCCAAGTAGCTGGAACTACAGGCGTGCACTACCACACCCGGCTAATGTTTTTGATTTATTGTAGAGATGAGGGCTCGCCAAGTTGCCCAGGTGCGTCTCGAAGCCTCGGGCTTAGGCAATGCACTCACCTCAGCCTCCCAAAACGCAAGATTACAGGCTGAGCCACCGAGCCCAGTTTAAAAACATAATTCTAATAGCTGCATGTAATTTTACCATTTCCAAATGTTTGGTCATTCTGGTAATTCTCAGTTCATATATATATTTATATGTATTCATAAATAATAAATTTCGTGGAAGACAGAGTCTGTGAATGTGATGCATGTGTGTGGAAAAGTGAGTAGGATCACACCTGTGGGGAATCAAAGGGGACAGAAGGAGAAAGTGAACCGGGATGCTTTGCAACAAGGTCCTCAGGGTGCTTTGGAACTGAGATGATTCTTCAGCATTGTCACTAGTCAAAAACCCTGGCCTCTACCTTCCCAACAGCATCGTTATTTGTGGCCCGGCCCCAAGTGGCAACAAGACCTTTGGGGGAAGTGCCTCTCTTACTAAGATGGTCCTTGAGAGAGACTCAGCTGAGAGCCATCAGTCAGCAGCCAATTCTCCCAGCATCTTGAAGAATGAGCGCTTCAGTCCCAGACCAGGTGGGAGTAGTTCCAGAGAGATTCATAAAATTTTCTTTGATTAGATGGTTGACTTATTCTTATTTTTTTTCACAATTAAGGTAGTTGCATTTATGTAATTTTGACATTCTTGAATATATATTTTTTCTTTCTGGATTGTTGGGAAGATATAACCAAGCAGTCCACTGGCCTATCTCCAAAAGATCTTCAAGGATATTTACATAGATGCTACTTATACACATCTGTTGATTTCAGTTCATATATGTGTGTGTGTGTGTGTACATATATGAATTGAAAATGACTAAGATGACCAAATATTTGGAAATGGTAAAATTGCATGCAGCTAAATTATGTTTTCAAAGGATGGTTATTAAGATGTTAATATATCTACTTCCACTGCATAGATTGTAAGATTCCAATTTCTAAAATATTGGTTATTTAAAATTTTGCTCTAATTGCTAATGCATACAAATATGGAAGAAAATAGATCACAATAATTTCAGAGGTTGACTCCATACGAGTGGAGTTTTAAGCACCTTGTATTTTCTTTTTTTTTTAATTATAAAGATGTGGAGTACAACTCAGGGTTAGGTATACAACATTGATTATGCAGGTAATACCTTGTTGATGAGGTATGCCCCTCTCTATTTTCTAAGTTATCTAAGATCGTGTATTACTTTTTAACTGTAGAATGTTAACATGGTTTATAAAATAAATTAATAGAATGTAGACTTGCCAAAGTACCCCAAATTCTAGCCTTCATAACCTTCTGACTTTCTTCTGTGCTCTAGCACCTGGATATTTGTCTTCCTCTCTTTTGAGCTCAGCTGTGTTTTATAAAGTTATTTGGGCACATTTCTACTTATTTATAACTGAAGGAGAAATCTGCGTTAGGTAGGTTGGTCAGCTTACCAGAAATGAGTGTGCTCTTAAATTTAAAAATTTCTATCAAGTCTGTGTTTCTATTGCTTTTCCATTTTTTGGCTCTTCATCAATTTTTTCATTTTTAATCTCTAGATTTTCTCAATCAACGTTCACTCCTTTCCTATTTGGGGGGATTTTTCTGTTTGCTCATCTTGTTCATAAAGCTTCCATCCATATTAATTCCTTTTGATATTATTTTGTTTTCTATTTATGTTTATAATTTATATACATATTACTTTATCTTTAAAAAAATTTTTTTTTATTTTAAAAATGTGGGGTGCAATTCAGGGTTAGGTACACAAATGTTCATTATGCAGGCACCCTTGTTGATGAGATGTGCTTCTCCCTCCCCAGGCAGTTTCTGGCTACTGCCAATCTCTTTCTTACAGTGTTATGGCAAATGTGCAGGGTTCACTTATAAATGATAGTTTTTTTATCTTTTCTTTTAAATCTCATCAATTTCATCTATTAATGCTTAACTTTTCATTTTTATACTCACTTTTCAATCAATTTATTTCAATTTCTCCTTGTTTGTAGCTGTTGCTCTCCTTTATTTTGAGACAAACTTGTTTTATTGTTTTATTTTTAATAAATATGTTGTATGCAGATAATTTTGCCTATGCAATTTTTACTTTTTAAACTTTATGGAAGTTCGTGTGATCAGTTCTTAGAAAAGGTCATGGATACCTGTAAAGAATATGTATTGCCTGATTAAATTATTTACTGGGGTGCCAAAAAATGTATACACATTTTAAGAGCTGCTATCTATGTAACACTTTTCGAAGTACTGTTCAGAAGTGTCTGGATGCTGATGGTAACCACTTTGAGCACCTCTTGTAATTGCAGAAGTCAAAGGTGACTTGTACTCATTCTTTGTTATTAGTACAAATTTTTGCTTTCTTAAAATGTGCATACAATTTTTTGGCACCCTCCATATGTATAATATGGATATATCTAATATAAATATATATAAAGTATAAATACTAATTTATATTATATATATCCCGTATATAATCATTTAAACCCTATATGCATGCTTATACACACACATGCATAAAAGCACATTTACTTTATTAGAGACAGAGCATGTACAAAAATCTCCAACTATAATTGTGATTGTATCAATTCATAACAATTTTTTAGCATATATATTTTGGTGTTTTGCTATTTAGTGTTCAATACTTCCATATTCTTCATTGATGAGGTTACCATTCTCAATTTAAAAATGACCTTTCTGTATAATTTAATACATTTTGCTTTAAATTCTTCTCTCATTTTAGTGTTATTTTTGACATTTTGTAATGTATGATTAATAGATAGTCTAATTTTGCTTCACATAATCTAAATCTTTGTCTTTTTCTTCAAGAATTATCATAATTTATAGATCGCTGCCTTTTATTGTTTCCTTGATTTATGATTTCTACTGTTTATGCTTCTTTTATGTTTTATTTTCTCTCATCATAGGCTATAATTTCTTTGTAATCAGTGTTAGGAATGTAACCACATTTATCTGACTTTATGTAATTTGAAGGTGTTCACATTTATATGCTTCCTCTTCCTACTTCCAATTGTTTGTTTTAATTATCTGGAGGTAACAACTCTGGATTAAACATAAGCTGGGACTGTAGATTCATGTTGTTGTTACTGCTATTCTATCACTATAATCAGCACTGTGACTATATCAAAAGGAGGTCAGATGGTAAAGATTCTGCAAACTGAAATCTCTCATTCTGATCTCAAAATACCGAGCTACTTCCAGAGTCAAGTCTTCGCAGTTCTGAGTAATGCTCGCATGTATCTGATCATTTAAATTATTCAAATAGTTGTTGCAAGTAAAATAAGAAGACATGAAGATAAAGAGGAAATTAGGACCTCGCAAATTAGTGTTTAAAAGCCGTAGGGACA